GGCGGGAGGCGGGCAGCTGTGGCGAGTCGTGCTTCCTGGCGAGCGGGTCTTGAGACACCCTGATTCCGGAGCCGAGCCGAGCCGGGCGCGCTGGGCGTTGTTGTTGCTGGGGGCTCGGTCGTCTGAATGACTGGGCACAGCAGGGTAAAGTACGGTGAAGGTAAGGGTGCAGGTTGAAGCCCCAGTCCCTCGTTGTTGGGGAAGGTGCTACAGAGCAGGTAACAGGTTCAGCGGTTTCACAGGCTGCTCCTGTGTAGAGGCGACCGGTCTGTTCCTGTGTAGAACTGACGTAACGATGCCTGTTACGAAGCACCCTGAAAATCATCCTTAAAGAAGGGAATGTTACTATAGTCCTAATTAGAGGCTAGCGTGCTAAAAACGTTGCAGAAACTTTTGAAGACCCTTTTCTGCCGCTCTTACTTGCTCTTCAAAATGTCTTCTTTTGTAAATAATACTACTGATCCTGTTAGGGTTAAGTGCCCTGCAGAATTTCATGCAGAACTGGAGCAGCAGGGGTTTCTGTCGTTACTGTCTGACAAAAAGTTATCAGTTAACACGCAGGCATAGGAGTGGACCCAGGACTCGTCTCTGTGGTGATAATCAATAACGTTTAGCTCTGCAGTTACAAGCGTATATACAATGTGACTTGCATGTGGTCTAGTCTGCCCCGGGGTTAATGCTTCATACAGTTTTTCTCGTGAAACTCCTGGTTTAAATAATCTTTCTGTCTTGATTCTGTAGGCTGGTTGGACTCCCCTACATATTGCCGCTTCGGCAGGCCGTGATGAAATCGTGAAAGCCCTCATTGACAAGGGTGCTCATGTGAATGCTGTCAATCAGAATGGCTGTACGCCCCTGCATTATGCAGCCTCCAAAAACAAGCAGGAGGTATGGCTCCCTATGCTACTGGAGCTGGCATCACTCTTTTAAAAAAAGTATTTAGTTAAATTAACTTTTCCTCCTTTTTTCCTGTTTTCTGTTCCTACGTATTCAGATTGCAATCATGCTTTTAGAAAATGGAGCTGATCCAGATGCAACAGATCATTTTGAGTCCACGCCATTACACAGAGCAGCAGCCAAAGGAAATCTAAAGATGATACAGATTCTTCTGCGGCACAATGCTTCTGTTAATATACAGGACTCTGAAGGAAATACTCCTCTGTAAGTTATTTTTATGTTTATTTTGGTTGCATCTTAATCTCTCTGAAATCAAAAACTCCATTACTTCAATAGCAAAGTGTTTTGTTGGTTTGTTTGTTTTTATTTTTCAGTTGCTTTAAAATATTCCATTGCCTCATATCCCTATAGAGCTAAAAAGGCTTTGAGGAAATCGTGTTTAGTATTTTGCATAAGCAAAATTAAGTTAAAGCGTACATGCTTTAATTTGTGTTACTACATCTACTTAAAAAGCTTACCTCTTATAATAAGTTGGGATACGTTAATTTGCCACCAGAGGACAGAAAACATGTTAATAAGATCAGAGTTGCAGGAAACTGGTCTTGTAGGCTGGTCTACTCAGTCCTGCCAAGCAAGAACTAGTTTTGGAAGCTTTTCTTCATCTCTCTAAGTTAAAATTTTAATGCAGTTGGTCCAGTGTTTCGTATCACCTTACAGATCACTTTGAACCTGTAGGGATGAAATCTTAGGTGCTTTGAAGTTGGTGGCAAAACTCTGCCTTGTCTGCAGTGGAATCAAGATCTCTCCGTGAAGAAGATCAAACAGCATGTTTTATATACATACAAAGCGCAGTATTATCCCACAACACATGCATTTATTCTCAAAATGTTATGTCAAACGGAAAAAAGTGTTTGCCAGATTTGCAATAACTCATATTTTCTAAGCATCATTTGGTTTAGTTCATCTCTTCTAATTCAAACAGAGGTTACCATATCCAATTTCACAGAGGATTATCTGCTTCTTAGCTGTGCGGACTGCAGAGCCAAATCCTAATCTAGATTAAGTGCCTTAATGTTGTGAAGACAACAGAATGAGGAATGTTCTTGAGTTGCTTGATGACAACAATCTGACTGGAGAGTAGGCTTTGAAATCTGTAGAGGGAGTTGGTTGCATGTGGTTTTGTTGTCTTACAAATTCTCCCCCTCAGCATTCACACCATCCTTTTGACAAGGCATAACTATTGCTCTTTATAAGCTTGGACTATTTAATAGTGGCTGTGGGTTTCTTCTTATTATTGCAGTCACTTAGCCTGCGATGAAGAAAGAGTGGATGAGGCAAAGCTGCTGGTGTCTCACGGTGCAAGTATTCACGTTGAGAATAAAGAAGAATTGACCCCACTGAAAGTGGCAAAAGGTGGCCTGGGAGCCATACTTAAAAGAATGGTGGAAGGCTAGTGGGACTTTTGACTTGACCCTCTTTCCTGTTGCACTTGTACCGAAGGCTGCAAAATTCATGTTTTCAGTGTTCGACTATGGATGTCATATATGAGCATCACCATGATAATAAAATGCATACCTTGATTTCCTTCAACTATGCTGCCCAAACAGCCATTTGTACTTTCTCTGAGTTAAACAGATCACTGCTTTTAAAGTATTTTTCAATATCTTGCAGTTTTCTTTGTTTACAGTGTGATCTGTATAAATTAGGTCATTCCTTCTATTTTCAGAGCCTCGTGTAGGATTGGGTCTTTCAAGTAACAGGACCAAAAATGCTTTAACCTTTTAAAATTAGCTTTATTTTGGAAGCCTGTCCTAGAGTCAACTTTACTTTTCTGTAACCTCTGTTCTTGCTTGTGTTTTTGTAGGTACTGATTCTCTTCCTTCAGATGGTTCTAAATTACTCCTCTCCCTTTATAGTATGTAGTTTGCTCAGGTGCTTGTAGTTGTACCCATTTTTACTCTTGTCAGTCTTTTAGACTCAGCTCTGAGTCTTTTACACTTTTCTCTTGTTATCCCTTCTTATCCCGATTCTTTGAGTCTTTAAATATATTCATTTAATGGAGCAGTCTAAACTGCCTGCAGAATGCAGATGCAGTTTCAGTTACCTCTGCAAAGATACTATTGTATAATTATATGCTATGGAAACTTTTCAGAAGTATGTTTTGCATCCTATTTTATTTCCTGTTATTCTTTCTATAAATATCTCTTTCATTGCTGCTTGCTGCCTTTATGTAGTACTGACACTTCCACCTGGTTTACTTTTTTTATTTAATAACAGAGCCTAGATTAATCCTTAGTCATAGCAAATACGGCCATTAATTTATTAGAAGGTAGAGGGTTTGTGACTATAGCAAACTGATATAAAATGAGATGCATTTTATAAGCTGTACTGTGCTCTTTGGCCTCTTCTGTAGTCTTCCCATGGGTTGACCTGGCAGACTCCAAGTCAAAACTTTGTTTCAGTGTTGTAAGTAACACTAGTTTCTGGGATGAAAACTGTTGGAGCGGTTACCAAGCAACTTCACGCCCATGGTGACAATAAAGCCCTTTCTTTAATCAGCTTCCTATGAATGTTCCCTGCTGTTATTAATGCTTGTAAAAACTAGTTGGAGGAAACTCCTCTTAAGTATCCTGAGACACTATAAGACAACTCTGGGAAAACCTTTCCTCCAGAAAAGTCATCTTGCTGCTGGGAGGACAGGAACAGCACTGAGCTGTAGAGCTGAGTTTTCTTGAAATGGTTAGGAAACTGAAGATGCTTTTCTGCAGAAAAGAATACCATCTTGTTTTGAGGGTGACACAAAGGCTTTCCTGCTGTTGGTGCTTCAGATAAAGATAAGATTTTAGGGATAAAGCAGGGTTGTAAGATGACTTCCTGTAGAACTCTTCCAAAATTTGTGAATGGGAATTAAAAAAAAAAAAAAAAAAAGCAAACATCCTTATATGCAGGTTATCAGAAAAACTTCGTTCTGGCAAATTCTATGCTAACTTTAGTTATGTAAGCTTTTGTTTGGGCAGGAGGTAAGTGGAGCTAACCTTTATGTTGCTTTTAATGACAATCTTGAAAGCTTCCATGCACTTAGCACTTGCACGTTTATCTCTTCTGTCCTAGTAATTTCTGATTGAACTGATGTGTGTGGAGGTTGTTTTTTTTTTTTGTTCTGTTTTTTAATAATGGGAGTTAAATTCAGCATTTTAGCATTCGTTGATAGAGCTGAGAGTACTTACTACATAATGAAAGATGAATAACTAACATTTTGGACAGATTATTTTTCATGAGAGGGAAGGACAAAGTTCAACACATGACCTTCTGTTCTGATGCTGGGAAGATCACTTGGGGCACTACTGGGCTAGACTTTTCTAAACAGGTGATGCTGATAAAATTCTGTGGAATAAAAACATTTCTCTAAACAACAGTCTTTGGTGTTATAAAACTTTATTAAACTTACATGTAACAAAACCAATATTTTCTAAATAACTTTTATGCTTGTGATGAAAAGCGCAAGTCAGCCGAAACACTGCCATCCATTACACGGTATGGAAATGGAACATATTTGTTCTTCAACTGCAAGGAAAGGTTGAAACAGCAGATGACAACTTCTCTAGTCTGACTTGTCTACGAAGGCATTAAAGTAACATGATTTACTTTAGTAAGCAAGACAGAAACTTAATACCAAACAAACATCTTCATCAAATACTTTAAGTCTATTCTAGAAAGCAAAATGCAGATTTAATGTCACTAAGAGTACCTATTGAGAACAAGGAGAAAACTTGCCTTTAAAGTAAGCTGTGGTCATGCAGACCTTGTTTGAAGGAGAAACCTGACTGAGTACATGTTTTTTCTTTCTATATTTTTATATATATATATATATAAAATATATGCAAGAACTGCTGAAAACTTGAATTGAGGAAAGTTGAAAGTAGAATACTGTGTTGATCCTTGGTCTTTGTATAGCAAAAAAAACCTGCCAAAACTTTCTAGCTTTGGAAATCTCCTTCCCTTGGAGATGGTGGCTTGGATATTGGCTTAATGTTTGCTTTCCATATTAATGATCGGTACTCCCTCAGGAGGAAATAAATGGGCTGTTCAGCAAAGACTGTCAAAACATCTGAGGTAAATTCTGAAAAACAGTTCTGCGTCTTGCACAGCTCTGCAGGGTTTCTGTCCTACACACACCATGGATCAATATCTGATTTTATTGTGCTTTGCCAAGAGGATCAGTGATAGTCTTACATGACAGAGACTTACTAATGAGAACAAACATCTGTCAGAAGGCTTACCAAAATATCTCATTATGTTAAGAAACTTCAAATAAATGTATTTGTTCTTTTCTGTACCTTCTTCTGCACCCCCCAACAATCTGATTTGCTTGTATTTTGTTTTTTAATTGTATCTATTGCAAACAGGTGGTTGGAAGTGAGAGAGGAATTGTTAGTCAAGAGCTGCCATTCCGTTGTTCTGTTCCTCTTCTAAAAAAGCATCAACATCACCTGGGCAATTTCCTCACCCCTCCCCACCAGGAACGTTTAAAGGAACTGTATTAGCTGTAGAAGGTAATTACTTCTTCCCTGGCAGAAGCCTGTATGTTCGTTTAGTGAGTTATATAAGGAGTACATGCAGAGAAATGTGTGGAGGTGAGATTATATAACCACAGCAGTGTTATGAAGAGAATTGTACATGCTGTCCGTGAAGGGCAAGAGTAAAAGAACACCTAGAAGTGTCAGAGAGGCAATTACTCAAAATTAATAACACTGTCAGCCATGTAGTGGGCCCCCTTGCACCAATAATTTGTTTGAATTGTCTCATTAGGAAACCCCTTTGATAAGAAACGGCACCCAAATAGGAATAGGCTGTGCTTGCTCTTTTCCCACTGTTACTGAGCGTGGTTAGAGTTGGAGTTATTTCACGCTTACAAAGGTATTTGAGGGTGAGTACAAAAAACTTTCTTTAAGCTTCTAAACCCAGATTTAAGGGTCCAAGTCTGTAGATTTTGCTTAGTAAAATTTCTACAAGAGCCAGTAAGAAAGATGCCCGATTAAGAAGAGACTTGCGTACAGGCCATTACTTAAGGTTTACCCTGGATGTTTTGGAGGCAAAGTACCATGGGGATCCTCTGATAGAAAGTGGTAGTGTTGGCATCAGTAAGGGTTTGTCGCTCACGATCTGGGACAAGCGGTTTTCAGCTAGGACACAGGCATCAAAGGCAGATCTTTTAGAGCCAAAAGGATTGGTAGAAAGGACAATAAATACAGTTTGCTTAATTGCCCAAGCTGAATCTTAATTAGGACCGCATGTCCTTTACGTGTTTTTTTAAATGCTGCCATCTTCATCTTTTGTTTCTCAAGCAACTGGCCACATACTTCTAGCTGTAGAAACTGAACCTGAAAACTGCAGCATGGATACGTTCTTCCATTTTAAAAATGACTCCTGAATGTAACTAATGTTTACAGGCTAGGCGCAGTCACCAGAGGAGTTATGACTGTACAACATCCTATAAAATACTCTTAAGTGCCTGAAAGTTCCAGATCCCTGAGTCAGATACTTTCCTCTGCAGTGCATGGGCTTGAAACCAGTGTCCCCTCTTGTCAGCAAATACCTGCCCAGTGCGAGTCAGTGAGGGAGCTGCTGAGGCCTGGTGCGCTGTTGGCTTGAGCTTTCCTGAAAGTAGGTATCTTTGCCCTTTCGAAGAACTGAGCAAGGAGCGGCTTGTCCTTAGAAAGTGGGCCCTGGGCAAAGAGGATGCATTTGTTTTTAGGGAGGTGTCTAGTGATCAGAGCGTATGTGGTTCAATTCCCTTTTCTCTTTCCAAGAGTGTACTCATGGCTCAGCTGTTGGCTGTCGTTGTGGATGCACTATTTGCCTTTCCTTTTGAAGCTTTCACCTATAGAAGATAGTCAAAAGTTACACTGGGCTGAAGAGACCGACAGAAGAATAGCCCGAGTTTGTTGCTTAGTGGGTAGGACAGTTGTCTGGAAACAGATTTAAATCATCTCAAGCAAAAAGGAGGAATTTAAGCTATTGTATTATAGTAGGCAGTAGCAATATTTCTTTCTAAGTTGTGAAAGCAGCTGTACCTGCAGTCCATGAGGAATCTGATACTATGCATGCCTGTTTTAACAAGCCTTGCAAGGGATTTAGATTTCCAGCTCCCATTGTCTGGAAACCAGTCATTCGAGGTCTGAAGTGGGTACCCAACTGCTAATTTCATTAATTTGGAGAAAATCAGAACTGCTGAAACACACGACTCTGGAACTCTGTTGTCTCGGGAACTTTAAAGCCAAGAAGGACACTGTTAACAAAGTGTATCGCGTGTTAGGCAGCAGCAGAGTAAAGGTTTCCAGGATTTTTTTTTCAACTTTTAAGTGGAATTCAGACATAGAAGATTTCATTGGACCAGGCCTCAAAATCTGTTTCTGTCCTCTGATGACACTGATGAAGCTTCTATTGACTTCTGAAGTGCAAGATCAGATCTTTAAATCCTGTAAAGTGCCAGTCACAATGGTAGTTTTTGCTGCACAGGAAATACTAGATGGGCCAGCACTGCTTCTGAAGAAGGTTGCTGTGGTTCGGAACTATGCGGATACACACAGCATTTCAAATAGTTGACTGGAAAGCTCTTACTTTGTCCAAGGCTCAAAACCATTTTATAATTAGCATTCCAAAATAGGTTGGGTAACTGGGGGTGATAGTTTTTTTAGGCTTATATTTTTACATAACTAGATAATAAATGAAAATTGGTTAACTTTAAAGGCCAGATGTTTGCTATTCACAAACTGCATGTGTAACAGATCCTTTTCAATCTCTTGCCCAGTGGTTTACAATACAAATGCAGGTTTAAATTTTGGTCCTGCTGCTGTGCTAATTCAATGATGACAATTTTTTTTTTTTTTTTAATAAAGGGGTCCAAAGCTGTCAAGGAAAACTGTATTAAAACTCTAGGCTGTTTCCTCTTTTTCCACTTCTTGCTTCTCATCGTTTTCAGGTGTCCCAGAGGCTGCTGTTTCCTCAAGAGCAGGGTATTCATTTGTCACGTTGCTTGGTGGAACTGTGGTTGCAGGTATGTTTTCTTCATTAGGTACCTGAACGTACTCTGCATTGGGTTGTTTCTGAGTCATTACTCTGCAGGAAGACAGGATGAGGATTGTGATTTCATATGTTGAAATCCCCACCTACACTACAGTCTTTCAAAAGAATGAGTCTTTGGAGTTTTATTGTTTAAATGGTAACCCCCATACTATTATGATTCTGTTCCTGTAGTACCTGAAAGCCCTCACAGGCTATACAATCACAGTTGCTAAGACGTGAAGATTGACAAAGTCTTAGATAACAAGACTGATCTGCATCACTGGTTTAGCTGATCCCATCGGAATAAAATGGATTTTAATATGGCTAAATGGAAGGTCACGAAAGCAGAATGGGAAGCTGTGCTGGCAGTGACTGAGAAGTTAGCCAAACAAACTGTTTGGCATGAGCTTTCTGGGAAATTGCATGCAGATGTGGTGTCCCATTCAAATATATAAATAATAGAGTGGAGACAGAAAAGAGCTATGATAAGAACTGAAATCAGAAAACTATTTTTAGTAACAGATATGAATTCTATTTAGTCTGTCAAAGCAGTAATGAATCAACTCCTGGTATTTAACTAGTTTCACATGTACAAAATAGCAGATGCTAGTGGATTAATTCAATGCAGTAAGGTTTATTAGGATCCAAGCACAAAGATGTTAAAGCTACATCAGTTCAAAGCAGAAATCAGCTGCATGAGTGACTGGCCGCTGGTCTGGATTAACAGAATTCCATATCAGGAGGTCTTAGACCAGAGCTATAGAGAAACGTCCAGAGGATATAATAATCTGTTCTGGCTTCAGCTACACGTATTAATTTATCATTAACATCATGGGGCTAAATACAGTCTGTGTGTAGTATATGAGATACCCCTGCCCTGATGATGTGGCAATTTAACAGAGAAGAGAGCAACCAAAGCACGGAGGAAGTCGCTTTTCCAGAGCAGGATCACAGCGGACATTCTGGCTCCGTTCTTTTTCCTAAACCTAGATGTCCCCTCTGCCTTTTAAGGTGCCTTAAAGTATCAGACCTGTCTTCCAGCTGCCATTTTAGAAGAGGACAGGTGTCCCACAATCCTTTGTCACATCCACCAGTTCAGTCCTGGAGACCCTGAAGCGTTTCAGATAGCACTAAACTTGAGCCCTCTGTACTGAAATCCAGTAACGTGCAATCCCAAAATATCTGCTGAACAAGCCTTCAGCTGCAATACCTTTTTTACTTCCTCTGTGTACCATTAACAGTCACCTTTAACCTTTAAATATTAAACACTGTTTTTTCCAAGATGTCACTTTTTCATTGTGTTGTTTAAAAAACATTTACTTACTATTTCGGATATTGCTAAGTGGTGACTGCATGTAAATATAGGGAGGAGGGCAATAGCAGCTTCTGTTACGTGAGCAACAGTTTAGGTCACACATAAATAGTCTTACTTTTAAGGTTTTATCAAACCCTATGTTATTTACTCCTCTGTAAACATTTATGATAAATATATTTTGCTTTGGTTCTGGTTTATCATCACTGCTTTATGGAAATGCATCCCTTAAAATTAAGCAAACAAATTCTTACTGCATTTCATTACTTGATGCCTTCTTTTTCTTTTTCTTTTCCTTCTTGGTTAAGACCCAGACGATAACGCAAATGATAACACCTGCCACAATTGCTCCAATTAATGCTCCAGCAACGATACCTCCATCTGAATCTGGAAAGGAGAAAAAGGATTACTTGAATTTAAAACAAGAGTATTAATGTAGCAAAATACCATAGAAATTTAGAGGAGAGGCCGTTAGCAGAAAGAAGTCACTGGGTTCACAGAACTAAAACCTAAAATCCATATTTCCAAGAGAGGGGCCATGGATACTCTAGGAGAGAGAGAACCGTGCTTATATGACCTTTGCTGCCTCCCTTCTCGATAGTTAGCTCCCTACCCCAACAAACTCCATGTTTATGGCTGCCTAAGGGAAACGTGAGGTTGTTAACATTGGCAATAGTTGAAGGTCTTTGTTCTTCAGTCTTTGCAAAACAATTTTGAAATTCAGCTTGCCTTTATCTTCCTATTTCAGCTCAGATGTCAAAAGAATGTTTCGATCACCTGTGAACCTTAAAAAACTCCTATTTCCACTTTACTACAGCTGCTAGCTCTGGCCTGCCCCTTTTCATTTTTAAGATCACTGAGTAATTGAGTAACAATTGCCGGGATACATTTTGTGGCTAGCTATACAATGTATGCTTGGCTCTTAGATTTTACTGGTTACCTGAAAAATCTGCGTGAAGGTGTGGTAGACTGAGAATAGTCAGGAAAGGTATTTTGCCATGACTGCAATCCTTTCAAATAATGGTCCCATCTGCAGTGCCCCAGTGCACGTACTAGCACGTTTCCTTGGTGGTTGTAAATTTTGGGGGGAACCCATGGGGACCGCTGGCTAGAAGAAATTGCTCTAAGCTCCGTGAGTTCCCACAAAAGGCCTCTGTAGTCAGAGCCAGGTTCAGTTCCTACTATCCAGTGAGAAAGGAAGCTGGAGATGTTAAATGAGTTGCCCAGGTCAGTATGAACCCTGGGCATACCTGGATGAAAACTCTCCAAAGCCAATACTGTTCTTATTTCAAACAATCTATGTTTTAAAGCTGTTGCAGCATTTTTCTGCAAACAGATTATGTCATACATCAAATGTGATTACTTTCACGTATTAAACTTACGCTTTGTAGTTAGGTCGAGCTCGCAGGTACTGTTCCCCAGGACATTGCTGGCTATGCACTGGTAATATCCTGTTTCAAAGGTGGTGAGATTGCCGATAATAAGAACCCCAGTTTTTGGATCTGTGACAAACGGAGCATGTACACGGATGACTATTTGTACACTGTAGAGGCAGTTGGTTTTCTTTGGTTAGTAATACTAAGAGCTATTAAAAGATGAAAAACAGGACGACCTAAAAGGTTTTCCCATTATTTGTTAGTCTTTTTCATATTCTTTAAATGGAAAACATTTACCTTTCTTGAAAGTTGCTACCGAGGATTCTGTATGCGTGTATTAAAACATGAGAAGAAGGCACCTACCATGCAATTATGTACGTATGTCTGGTATTTTACCCACACTGAGATTATTGTCAATGTAATCTCACAAATGAAAATGTAAACAGGTACTGAAGTGTTTTCAGGATGGAGGACAGCAATTGAATGACAAATTGAGTTATTTTGAGAATAGGTTCAGTTAGGATTCCAAGCGAAGGGAGGTGTAAAGGCATAATCACGTCTCCCATTTTAACAGTTTAAGATGATGTTATGGACGAGACTTTAACACGCTACACAAAACAGACCTCCCAAAAATCCTGTGTTTATGTAACCGCTGTCAGTCAATTTGAGTAAGTAAAGATACCAATTTGTAGTGTTGAACATCAAAAGAGGAGGAGAAGTTTTGACTGCCCTGTATGGTACAAAGAATTTGAAATCAATGATATTATCAAACTGCAGATCTTAACTATTGTATGGTAGTCCTTTAGTTACGTACTGAATTGTTCAGTCACCGGCTTGAGGGCATTCTCATCTACTATATACCAGCGGTAAGTAGGATGAGGCAATCCTTCTTCACATTTGCATGAGAGAGAGATTAGATGGCCTTTCTCAGGTGTTCCCTCTATTTTGCAGAAGGGCTTTGATGGTTTGACTGTAAAATAGCAACAGGGAGAATAGATATCATGAGAACACAGGGAGGCTGCAGGCTTCCACATCAAGTTCTGTTCTTGTGCTGCTATAAATAAAGAATTAAGCCCCAGTTGCAGATTTCCATTTCAGAGCAGAGTCTTGTTTATGGATCTGACCAAATGCTCTCCCATAAAGATTTAATAAATATTAAATATATATACATATATACACACACACGTATGCGGTCCAGGATACATTTTTATTATCTTTTCTTGTATTTGCATACTAAATACTATTATGGAGATGGTGAGAGGCTACGCTAGAAGACTATCAATTACTTTGTTTATTACGGGCCAGTCGCTATTCATCATAGGTCATTTTCTGCCACATAGCAGTGTCATTTCCTTCAGGGGCACAGGGGCTTGTCCACATAAAGAGAGAGGGACAAGGCCTGATTCTTCAGTATCTTGCAGTCGTGAAGGAAATGAATCAACTACAATTGCAAAAAGATCTGCTTTGGAAGCAGTTTCTCTACTTTGCATACACAGGAGACTCTTCTGCCCTCACTTATACCTACTGTTTTGAATCTCCTACCTCTAGATATGCTGTTGTGGTTCTGTAGAATACTATCAGTAACCAGCTGTGAACGAGGCCCAGTTTTGTGTGCATAAGTGAATAACCTTTCTTGGTTTTTATGTGAAAATTACAATCTCTTACTTAACTCTTCCAAGAATTACTATTTATTTTAGCTGAGAATTAATGTTTGTGTTTTGACAATGTGACTTTTCAGGGAGTGTATTTACACGTCTCTTTTTTTATCCCTGGCAGATGGACAAATGATATTGCTGGAATCACTTTCTCATCCACTTTGACTTGTCACTCTGACCAGGTATGAATCTTAATTAAAAAAAAAAAATGATTAGATGAGGTTAGTACAAACTTTCATTGTATAGGCAAGTAAAATATTTGATTCCACTGCTTTTCATACTTTTTGTCCTGCCTTTTCATGGTTGAACTATAGCTTTCTTCCCCAACTTTGTACTAGTTCCAGTGCAGCCTAAGTTTCTACTGTTTCTGGAGAGTGGGAGTGAGCCAGAACTCTTGGGCTGTACTGCTGCCTCTCCCTGGATTCACTGTGACCTTTGTGCAGGGCACCGTGGACCTATCAGAAGCCTCAATAAAATGTTGGTCTTTGCTGGGGCTGGGCTATCCTGGAGGTAACGGCTCCAGAGAGTAACTTGCTCCCAACTAGAAGGGCTTTTTAATCAGATTTAATGCCACTTTTAATTTGAAAAACCTAGTAAAGTAGGGTAGTTCCAGCTACCTGCTTACATTAGGTAGGTGTCTGAGATGGCAAAGTGAATCTGGACGTGGATTGTCATAGGACAAACAGGTGTGGTTGCTGAGATCAGATATGGTCTGCTTTGTCTGGAAGCTAGAGGGCACCACAAGCCCTGCCTGCCTCCTAGGCCTTTGAAAAACATCTTCTCCCTGTCCACTTGTAAATGAGCTCTTTTTCTGCATCATGGGTTTTGTACATCACAGTTATGTTATTCCCTCTGGTCCTGCATATTTTGAGGCCTGAATTGCATTATTGTAGAATAAATCAAGAAAACTGCAATGCCACGAGATAGAGGAAAAGCACATACCCAGCACATTGACAATCACTGATTTTTGACTCTGTCCAGCATCACCTTGCGGACTGAAAACTTCGCAGGTGTAAGAACCAGTTTCAGAGGGCTGCATGTTGAAGATTGTTATTGAGGCATTCCCTGGACCTGTTGCAGCTTTGATCCTGTTCTTAAATTCTCCATAGGAATAAGACTCCCCTCCTGAATAATAATAGATCTGTGACACAAAATCAATCGTTAGCTTAATAATAAGAGATTTAACTGCCACTTTGTTTGTCATAACTGGAATATAGTTTAGTTCTGATTAAGCCGAGCAAGGTCACCCCCTTTCTTTCCCTCTCACCCAAAAACACTGAGATCAAAAATGTGGTATATTGGAATATATGTTTCTATTGGTTCTTAGAGGAGAAAACCTTGTCAGGACAGGAATTTTTTAACTGTGTAAATGGGCAGTAACAAGTTCTTTGTGCATGCTCCAGTCACAGACTGGAGCCTTTGAAAAAACAAAGGTGAGACTGTTAACCATAACATAACAAATCTGTGTAATAATGCTAAGTCATGCATAATTAACAATGGCACTAATTGAAGCCCAGATAGTTTGTGGTGGTATTAACAATCAGCTCAACAGAAGAATATGACAAGGATGGACCTGCAGAAAGTAGATGGCTGCAGAGCTTTCCAAATATAGAAGCTAGCAAACAGAGAACTGAAATGAATCCACAAGACATAGGCCTAAGCAAACAAGGCACCTGATCTGTTTGCAATAAATTTGGAAGCAATAAAAATGCTGCACAAGAGCACCAGCAGAATCTTCACACATGCAATTCAAGCAACCATGCTTTTCTCCTTGTTTGTGTAATCAGGGTCAGAGCCAGTGTCATGGACATCTTGTTGTTTTTCCCGGTTTATACCGGAGATAGATGTCTAGAATAGCTGTTGGCCTTAGTGCTTTGAGGCGCACCTGCTTGGGATCAAGAATAAAAGCCTGTCTCTCTGGAATGCAACATTTACCCCACGATAAAAATTCACTGATTTACACTGACTGCTTTCGCTGACTTCAGTAGCACTCTTTGTGATTAGCAGCATTGTGAGAGTAGAATTTGCTCTCATAGGCTTATAAACCCAAATCTGTTATCTCTTGACCCAAAGGACAGGTAGAATTGCGTTCATTGTGGAGACTGGTTCATAGTTTGAGATTTGGGACTTGAGTCTGCTTAGGAGCTGTGATATCTCACGTGCTATAGGGAAGTGTCTAAATAGCTCTTCAGGAATACATATACTCACTCTGTCCTGTCTAGTTCTGCTGTGAAACTGAGATCTGAAAGAGCGAGTTAATGTGGAAAACTATGGAATGTTAATTATTTTTCTCAGACTTTTAATAATAGTATTGTATATGTATCCCAAATCGTAGTATTTGGGATAGGCAGCATGCTTCCCAGTTTCTACACGCACAAACTCCATCATCTAGGCAAAGTGATCAGTTCTAGCTTATTCACTGTTTTTTTCATGCTGGAGAGTGGTAACCATATGAAATTACAGGTTGGGACCCAGATATGTCTACTGTCTTTCCTACTGACGGTATCTCAGAATCAATGATGTAAATATATTTATCAAGGGTGGACTGACAGTTTCTTTTTTAATGGAGTAGCTGGAAAACACTTGTGGAAAAAAAGCTTCACAAACTGGAGTGAAATGTTATTCACTCTTGACTGGCATCAAAATTGCCTTTTTGAGTTTCCTCCCTTTAGGGACACTGCAAATCCCCAGGCAAGAAGTATAATTTACTTTATTTTGCAAGCCAACTGATTGTATTTTGAATTAAGAATGTTCATTCTTAATTCCACTTATCCACCCTGATACAGTGTTGACTGAAGTCTTTAAGCAATGTTATCTAAAAGCCTTTGTTAGCTTAAGGCAATCTACACCCCAAAACTGCCAGAGCACAGCTGGTTTAAGCAAAGATAAGGTTTTGAAATGAAGGTCAAAACCCAGATTGCACAGCACCAGCAGCTCTGGTACTGCAGCCTGGCCCCGTCTCAAGTGCAATGGTGTCTACTTTCCAGCCAGACTTTGCTTTCCCCTACCCTGTGATTATGAACGCTGGGTACAGTTGTTGCAGAGCCCTGAATGCCAAAGCTGCACGACTGCATTGCTAATGTGTGAGAACCTGGTGTTGCGCTGAGGATGTATAAGAGGTCTAATGTTAGCACAGTGACAAACTAGGTCAGAAAGTCTGCAAAACAGCTGGAGAGACTCTAGTTTCCATTTTTTTGCATGCAACAGTACTTGAAATTTTGCTGCTGGTATATATATTTTAAAAGTGCTTATATGCTTTGCTAACATCTAGAGATGGACCTCTATTACAAAACTAGGGTCTGTATGCCCACCCTCATATTCCCCAAATGCATGGGACTGTTCAAAGCAAGGAATTTGGTTTAAGACTCTCTCTCATCAAAATGGATCAAATTGAATTCTCTAACTGATATGTCAGTAATGACAAAAGAGTACTAGCCACATTTATCTCATTCTGCATGTATCCTAGTTTAAGCAACAGCAAAATTTTATACACTTTCCTGCAAGAATCTGAAGTTACAAAAACTGAAGTCTGACTTCAGGCTTCTTGTATGCTGAGGTTCGTCTATAAATCTCTGTGGTGATAGCCTAGATTTGCATCTCCTCTCAGTCAATAATATAACGTCCGTCTGAGTGGGGACGAGCCTCCATCAGCTATTCACACTAATGTGAAATTAAGTTGTACAGTGACTTGAATGAAGTTATGCTGACTTCTAGCAGCGTGAGAGGAGAGGCAGACCCATTGTATCCTACTAAAAGGCGTGATTACTAAAAAGGGGGCTAAATTCTACTCTGAGCCTACTTCAGAGTGATTTGGGATTTATGTGAGAGTAAACAAGAGCAGAAGCTGCCCCACTGAATGCCAACTCACTGTACATCTCCACATGTTCCTCGGAAATAGGTCTGGCATTGCAATGAGTTTTAAATGCAGTCAAGGCATGCCAGTAAACAAAACAAAAGAGCAAGTGCTCCTCTGTGCGGGGGCACTTTACTTGGTCTGGAGTCGGGGTGAATTATGTATCTAAGCCCTCATACAATGCACCGAAAAATTAATCCCTTGTGTTCTTTCTTTCTGTTTGAATGCACGCAGAGAAAATATGTTGTGTACACTGTTAAATCTGAGGCAGGGGTCAGCACAGCATAGAATATATGTTCTATTTATGGATTTGAACAGAGTCTTTCTGCTTTTTTTTTTTAATATGTATACTATGAACGTATAAACACAGTGGTACATCTTAAGGAACTGCATGCAGTTCCTCTGCAGGCTCCAGTCTATTCTCTATTCTTCTGCTCCTGTATGATGCTTATCTCACTGGCTCTGGAGTTTATTGCCTGAAGGAAGGTGGTAAACACCAAAAGGGCTGAGTAATGTTGTGATTAATTACTGAGTGTGTATCTTGTCCCCGAGGTATGATTGGATTGTGTACACAGGAAATTTCATTAGAGGAATACGTTTCACTGAATTGGCTGTGAATTCCTAGCCTGTTCTAAACAATATGCTCAAAACAGGTATTTTAAACCCTTGTATAGAGTACTATTTGTATACTGTCCTTGAAAAGTGCATGCTTGTGCTTTACAAAGATGTTTATGTTCTGTTTCAAGAGTCAAAACCATATTTTCTGTCGAAGATACAGAAGACCTTTTTTTAGCAACTGACAACTAATGTCCCCTCCCACAAACACAAACTTCGTTGACATTTCTTTCCATTTTACCTAAAATATCCCTAAGATGTTTATATAGGAAAACTGTAAATTTGGTCAGTGTTAGACTTTTGCTGGCAGCATTTTTAATTTGATGTAATAAATATATTTAAAGTCCAGCATCTTGAATAGAAAAAATAACAAATAAATCTGCCAAGCTTCTCTGAAAATAAACAGCTTATGTCCTCAAGCAAATCAAGAGCAGCTCTAATGAAGTTGATGATTTACCAGGGTAAAACCCGTGTTGAGGACACAGTAATGGTCGCTACTTCTAATTACCAGCTAGCTTGCTCGTGCAAGTTTTCGTATAAGAATGCCTTTTCGCATTTCATGGGAGCAGCTGCCTGGGATGACTAATCAAATAACTGACAAAAAAAATTTGCCAGGCTATCACTCCAAAAAATGTTGTTCCTAGTAGCTCCCCAATCTGATACACCAGTTTCTGCAAAACAGCCGGGCTGCCCAGAAAGCATCTCCCTGGCTCTAGAAGGGGTTGCAGTTCGTTTGGCTCTTTAACCTCTGGGCCAGGCTTTGCCTTGTGCCGTTGACAGCAGCAGTCTTCCTTCTTGGCCCTCTATGGTGGTGGAGTTAGCTACTCTGCCTTTCCAGAGTTGCAGTTTCTGCTGCAACCTAGAGGAATTTGGGCTCATAGACTTCCAAGGCAGTTAAGTCACTTATTCTTGTACCTGTCCTGGGCAGCTGGGTTACAAACTGAATAAGGTGGTGGGAATTATTTTACTAGTTTGGAAGAAAATCTTGGTAATCTCAAAACACTCCAGATGCTGGAGACAAGATAATCGGTGTCCAGAATTCTGAAAGATTCAGTACATGAAAGCACAGGTCCGTTTCTTCTCCTCCAAAGCCCTGGCCTGGGAAAGCTGCTCTCCTTCTTGTGTGATGATGAGAAAAATATTTGCCTGAAGAGAAGGTGGTGGGCAAAGCTGATGCTGAGTTTGGGATTTTCAGAGGCTTCCAGATGTTTGACAGAGAATGAGGAATCTATCTACGGGTTTTCCGTATATATCTTCTCACCCATGCAAAGTTCTTCCGTGGAGAGTGAAGGAGACATGTGAAAAAGCGGCAGTAAATTAGAAGAAACATGTCTCCATCTGCGTCCTCATTCTTCTTGGGACAGGACAAATAGATACTAGAATTTGCATAAATATGTGTCTTTCAAATATGTTTGGATGGACTAATTCTTAATTCCCAGTCAGTATTCCTCCCACCCCCATCTCCTGGTCTTATCACATTGCTGTTTAGCCTAGTACCTCTAGATATCAAATCTGTAAAGTGAGATGTACTTGGAGATGGGTTACAAAATGTACCGCTTAACCTCCATGGTTGTGTCGATTTCCTGACTGTGAGGCTGTTTGAGGATGTGAGTCCTTCTCGAATACCTGTCTTCCCTCCTCCAGCCCCTTCTCACTTTCCTCCTCTGGCAGAT